CTAATAGTAGTGAGCCTGGAAGCCCACTAAATTAGAAATAAAATATAGAAGGAGGGCCCTTTTCTTGCTAATCTCTCTCATCACCTTCCCCTATTCTCTAGAAGAGGGGCACACCATATGCCACATAGGGAGAACAAACATTGGATTGCCAAATGGGAACCTCAGGCCACATGAAATCATTGCAGTGATATGGAGTTGCATTTCCTGTTTGATTAGACTGAATGCATAGTGCTAAAAAGTGAATTCAGCACAGAGTCTTATGAACACAAGCTTAACTCCCGTGGCTCACAAATAAGTGATTATTACCTCTGCTTTCTCCGATCTTTGCTTTAATTTCTGATTTACACTTTTAGCATCCACGTTTGGAGCTATAAGAAGAAGGTACAGAGGTGGCAAGTGGGATTAGCTCTGGCTTTGAACAGTTGACTTTTCCTCAGCTTTGTCAGAGTAGACACCTTCTTTGGGAGCTTGGACATCTCTATCTGCGTCTATCTTACGGATATCTATTGTATTTTTGTCCTGTTGCCTCAAGCGGTAATTTTTATAAGCACGCTGAATGATCCTTGCTGAAACGGCCTCTTGTTTTCGTTTCAGAGTACTTGTAATTGGCTCGTATGTGATCTTAAAAGGATTGGCTAACAGAAACCCTGATTCTATCTCTGAAAGGACTTTCTCCACCCTCGCATCGTTGCCCACGACTCTCTTTGTAAAAGCGAGTAAGATGTCAAGGCAATGAATCCTGTCTCCAACAGCCATGGGGAGATCCAAAGCAAGGAGCTGGCTCTTGTTTGGTTTTGCCATGAAAAGAGGAGGATCAAGAGAGGCCGCAAAGTCTGAAAGCTTGCTAGAGTCTATGTACTGGGTCCTATCAGGGTCAAACCGCTTCCACACCTGAAAGAATCTCTTAAAATCGTCTTCACTTAAGGTTTTAACCTTTTTCTTAGAAGAAATATTTAAAAACTCCATGACCACAACAATGTACATGTTGACAATGACCAGCCATGACAGGAGGATGTAACTGACAAAATACAAAATCCCAACGGAGGGGCTACCACAGTCTCCCCGAACCTGAGTTCCCGGGTTAATTTTATCAGGATCACAGTCAGACCACTCACTTCTGAAAATTGCCTTCAGCATCCCATCCCATCCGGCAAATATTGTAACTTGAAAAAGGCAGAGCATACTGCTGACAAAGGTTTCAAAATTAGACACATCATTAATTCCAGCTTCCTTTTTAACATAGGCAAAGTTGTACATCCCACAGATGGCGTAGACAAACATGAGCAGGAAGATGAGAAGACCGATGTTCAACAGTGCTGGGAGGGACAGCACGAAGGGAAGCATCAGATCATGAAACACCTTGGGTCCTTTTCCAAGGCGCAGGACGTGAACGATCCGTGCGAGGAGTATCAGTTGCACAAGTGAAGGAGGCACAATGGAGTATCCTACTGTCATAGGCAGAAGTAGTCCTTGTGAAAAGATAAAGGAGGCAATAAAGTTAAAAATTATTCAGATACACCTGTCTGTAGAAGAGTATAAATCATTATGCACTTTTTACTATTTTATTAATCTTTTAATAATCTCTCCCATTTAAGAGTTAGCTATATACTAATTGTGTCAATGCTCAGGGTATGTAGCAAAACTGGAAGAGAATTCTCTTTTTCACCTAATGATATTATAGATCTAATAATTCCAGAATCACAGATGACCTCATGCCATAATATAGGACAAAAATCATAATTTTTTCTGATTGCTGTTGTATCAAGAAATTGAGTTCAATGTCCCCTTTACTGAATGCCTAATAAAAACCATGCAAATATGCAGGGGTGAATAACATGGTTTCTGTCTTCAAAGACCTTATAATTTAGAAACTAGTAAGAATAGACATTTGAAACTATTGTAACAGAGCAAAAAAACCTGATTGATAAATATAGTTAAAAGTTGTCTGGAGTTTAATGAATCATAAATTGGAACTTAATTTATTTATTTCATAAATAGTATTTTTGACCCCAGAAGCTTTGAATGTGAATTGAATAACTGCTTCTTTGCTTAGAACTTTTTTGTAGCAGTGGTAGGTGAATGAGGGAAGCATGGAAGTAAGTAAAGGGATCACTATCAAACAAGGAAAAATTATAATTTCTGTAAGAAGCATAGAATATTCTCTGGAATTCCTGGAGAAAGTGTGGGTCATTTTAAGTTGAGAAGTTGGTGAAGGAGAGAGAGTCTCATGAGGCCTTTTAAATAAGATGTATGTTTGCTGAGTCCACAAGGATTAGGCCTCCCGTTTCTGTTAACCTTAGCTCACTGCCTGCAATGGCAATCTCTGCAATGTTCTAGCCTATCAATACTTTTATCACCACAATGCTTTAGTGAATCTTTTATCTGGACCCAAATTCTCATTTCTCCTCAGATTTCCAATGCTCCCATTATGTAGGTGTTATCATTTAATTGCTAATAAATTTCTTCATATCATCATCAACTTTTTTAACCTCCTTTTTTTATCTAAAGCCTGACTCTATCTTGAGGACATTTTTTCTCTTATAACCCTCTTAAGTATGGGCAGTACATTCTTCATTGTTTCACATTCTTCAGAGTAGATTGATGGAAGAAATATCTTTCTTTCCAATATGATTTCTGGACACTTCTCCTTCCCACAATTTTTATAAACAAACACTGGCACTCTGGAAACAAACACTGGCACTCTGGCACTCTGTAGACCACACTGTTCACGGGGACCACGCCTCCCTTCCCTTGGCTTGGTGATTTGCTCGCTCCTCACTTGTCCTCAGTGAAGATGTCAGTCATTGGCCCAGTGTTTCTGATTCTACCTCAGTCCTCATCATCAACAACCCAAAGGCTAGGCTCTCAGTCTTTGGACTTGTCAAATTTTATAATCCATCACTTTATTTCAGTCATCCAAATCTGTGACCACATTCTAGACCCAGGACACCTAAATTTTTGAAACTCCAAATTCAACAACTTTCTTTCTAAATGCAATTCTTTTTTCCTTCTAGCTCTCTGAGTAAGTAACTTCCACTTCAATCTCACAGGGCTCTTTAATTCCATAAATCCTACTAGCTCCTCTCTTGTATTCATGTACATTTCTATCAAGATTCTTGTAATTTTCACTCAGTAGTTAGTTGCTGGCTTCAACCATCAACTGAACACGTGGCTTTTCTTATAGTACAACAGGGAAAATAGTGTACTTATGCTTTGCTCCGCTGAATATGTAGAGTAGGGCTTGACGCAGTAAACTCTTAAATACTGTCCCTACTCTCATGGGGCTTACATTCTGGTATGTGTGTTATGGGGAGGCAGACAATAAACTTCTTTCCACCTGACACTTCTTGATCCTAAATTCTTTGCTTGGCTATCTCTTCATTCAATTAAGTTTCTATTTAGATTTTGCTTCTTCCACAGAGTTTTCTCTGACCTGTACGTACCAATGACATGCTTTTCTTTGGTTATGCTGCTGTAGTGCCCTGTACTGCCCCTACCATAACCTTAACAATAGCATGGTATTAAAATCTACATCCTTTAATAGGCTATAAACTATGTGTATGCAGAAATTTGCTTATCTTGTTTACTACTAAATTATTTGCATATAGCAAATATTCACAAAGATATCAAAAGTATAGAGGGTGCAAAAAATGCACATACATTTTAAGAAAGGAAAACCTGTATTAAAATTATAATGCTCAGTATATGCGATAGCATTTGTGATCTCATATATTGTCATCTTCGATCTCTTGTAATCACAGAAGTCAAACATGACTTGAGTATTTTCCTTTCTTCACCTGTGTATACATTTTTGTCACCTTCTATATTTGTAAAGTAAAAAGTAAAGTAAAAGAAAACCAGTGAAACATTTATTAAACCAGTTAAACATTTATTAAACTAAAACTCCGATGTTGTAAAAGTTGTAAATAGTTTCAGAGACAAGAAGAAAAAAATAGTGAACTTAAAAGCTTATATTATTCTCAGAAAAAAAAGACCCTTCTAGTGTCATCCTAGGAAACTAATTTATGAGTATGCTATGTATTGAAAGAGAAACTAAGCACTTATTTGGTGCCTTGTGATAGAAAATCTATAAAAATATGTGGCATTCCTTTGGGGAATAAAAAGGATCCCTAACTGTTTCACTAATTATGCAACTATATCTCAAGAGACATTTACTATAAGAGCTTGACTGAATTAATGTTACTACAACTGAAAATTCAACTAAACAAAATCTTACCTGTAGTGGAGAAAATGACAACCATAAAATCAAAAATGTTCCATCCAATGGTGAAATAATAACAATGAAAAGAGATGAGCTTCAGTACACATTCTATAGCATAGAGCATGACAACAGTTGAGTTAATCCAGTAGAAAGCAATTTCCTTTTCAGGACCCTGTTCATCACTTTGTATCATAAGGATTATTGTGTGGAGACAGATAATAACCATAATGATGACATTAAAGACAGGATTTGTTACCAAGTCAAAAATGAATCCTTGAAACTTATTCTGTGGACAAAAAATAGGTATAATCGTCTTATTAGTCATATACACACACAGTCTTTAGCTTCTATACATTTCCTTCTAGCATAAAGAGGAGAATAGGAGAGGGCTTACATTTTTACCAAACTGTAATGATAGCACATAGTCAAAACAAATTAAAAAAAAATGACCACTAAAATTTTTGCCAAGGAGCATATTTTATAAATTTTGTCAAAAGCATTTGTTAGTGTTTCTTTTTTCCTTCTTTCTTTTTTCTATTTTCAGACACGAGGTCTTGATAGGTTGCCCAGGCTGGCTTCCAGCTCCTGGGATCCAGTTGTCTTCCTGCCTCAGCCTCCTGATTAGCTGGGACTACAGGTGTGTGCCACTACTACCAGCTATTCAAATTTTAAACATCCTTTTATTTAAAAAAAAAAAAGAATATAAAAGAAAGTTTTTTTGAATCATCCAATATTTCTCAATGTTTTCTTACTCTGGGGCGAGGTATTGGTCTTTGAGAGTCTTCACACATCAGCTTCTTCAGCACACGGTACTGTTTCCTCTGTTGTCCTGTTATAAAGATATTTGGGCCTCCCTGGTAAAGAAATGAAAGGAAAAGATATTAAAAACCCACTTATTCCAAATTTCCCTTACAGTACTATGCATTTTACAAAACTCATCATGGGAATTATTGACTTAAACCTTTCTAAAAAGTGTATCTGTGAGGAATAAATTGTCTTGGAACATGTCTTTCTGTTCCCAAATCCACATAGAACACACATGAATCTCATGCGGATAATGATGGGTGTTTGATCATTTTTGGTGTGCTCTCCTGTTGGTGGCCAACCCTCTTTGCACTTTCCATGCTACTGAGCCTACCTCTTATTAAAAAGGGACCAAAAAGAAACAGCAGTGGGCACCTGGAAAAGGTTTACTACCATAGGTTTAACTCAATAGCTAAAGGTAGATTTATGCCTTTTAATAAGCAAGAATAAATAATAGAGGTCATCTATGTATGCATATACTGCTTTATTTTCCAAATACTATAAGAAGGTAATTTTTGCAATTATTCTAAAAGTACCTGGTGCTTACTTCTTCACAGCACCGTCTATGGTTTATTCATATTTGTGTTTCTAGAGTTCACTTCATTATCTTATACGAAATAAGTAAAAGAAGTAATGTCATGTTAAACTAGGAATTGGGAATTGTTACTGCCCTAAATCAGGACCTGGTTACTTAAAGGGGACAGAGGTCACCAATTTAAAGCCTAGAAGTAATTCCTAGGATGTTATCCCATTGAGTTGAAGCCCCTGGGAAGCTGAAACATCCGATCAAAACCAGATTTGATCAGTGAACTCTATACTTCCACCTGAGTAGGGGAGACTCAGAGTGGTCTACGGCGATGCCACATTATCTGGAGTTTCACTTTCTACAGTTTTAGTTACCCATGGTCAGCTATGAACCAAAAATATTAAACAGAAAATTCTAGAAATAAAGAATTCATAAGTTTAAAATTGCATGTCACTCTGAGTAGCAAGAACACTTTTTTTTGCTCAAGATGTGAATTCTTCCTTTTTCCATATATCCATATATCCACTCTAGCCACCCTGTCCCTTAGTTACTTCAGTGTCAGCCAGGTTATTGGATAATTTCATGGTATCCCAGAATTTGTGTTCAAGGAACTCCCACTTCACTTAATCATGACCTCAAAGTGCAAGGGTCGTGATGCTGGCAATTTGGATATGTGAAAGAAAAGCCATAAAGTGTTTTTTTTTTTTTTTTAAAGTGAAAAGGTAAAAATTCTCAACTTAATAAGGAAAGGAAAAAATTGTATGCTGAGGTTGCTGAAATATACAGTAAGGATGAATGTTGTATCCATGAAAATATTACGAAGGAAAAAGAAATGTTTGCTAGTTTTTCTGTCATATCTCAAACTGTAAAAGTTACATCCCAGTATGTGGGAAGTGCTTAGTTAAGGTGTAAAAGGCATCTTAACATGAGTGGAAATGTGCTCTGATTGACAGCAATTGAGATAGGTGTGTCCACAGTCATTTCAGGTATCTACTGAAAGCCTTGAAATATATCCTAGGTGGATAAAGGGGGACTACCATACAGAAATTGCTAATAGCTGAAAACAGAATTTCAAATCAAACTATTCTTTCTTTCTTTCGATTTTTTGAAAGTTTCTCATACCCTATAGAGTGCAGGTTTCCACGGTTAAAGTACGTGGATTTAGATGTCCTTTGAGGCCTTTGCATTTGTGGAGGGAGTCTTTATGTAGAAATGGCACGAAGCAGTTCTGGTTCCAATCTGCCTCTGAATTCTCTATTGTGTACGATCACGTCTATTACTTCTCTTTAGGCTGTCTAATGAGGATTTATTGCTCTATTTCTAGCAGAAAAAGTTACTCTAACATAAAAAGATGTCCATCCTGATTATGACTCTAAAGATTTTGAATATATCAGAGAGTAAAAGGGTATTTTTTCCTTGATCTCTTCATGTATTTGTGAAGACACACAATAATGCTTAATTATTTATTTTAGAACACCATTATTTAAAGCATGTCCTTGTTATTTTTAACTTTTACATTTGTCTGTGCATATTTTGAATACAGAAGGCAAAGGAAAGATGAGCATTTCGGCCATATTCATCAATGCGCAGGAATAGTAATAATTTTTAAAGATATGTATTAGATAAAACAACATTTTAGTGATTATAAAGCCGATGATTTGAAGCAGGAAATGTTTACAAATATATTTTATTTTCTCAGACATGGATGAAAAAATAAGGAATATACTTATCTGTATTTTATACTTGTTGAAACTTGTAATAATAACACTGATCAGCATACTCAAAGGGATAAATAATCCAAATATAATAAAGTTGATGAAGTAACAATACATATAGATGCTGAATTCAAAATCTGGCTGCATATCTATCTAGAATTTAAAAAATAACAAATTATTGATATTGACATTTAAAATTAAGATTTATAAAACGATGTATAACAAGAAAATCCAACATTGCTTTTTGAGGTACTGTTTTCCTTTCTGGTTAAGATGGTATCATTATTTGGACTTTAAAGTTTATTTCATTGATTTAATCATTTTTGAAAAGTCTGGTAATGCCTCAAATGGCTCTACTAGACCTAAATCACTATAACCCTGGAAGGATTTCACCGCCCACAAACACCCAATCTGAAATGTATTTGATTTCTATTAATTATTGTTGCTGTCCTGTGATTGTATTACAAAAATGACTTTGCTCGAACCTTAACAATGACTTAAAATTATATTGTACTTACTTCAACAGAATCAACTGCTGAATTCATAATATCAATCCACCCATTGAATGTTGCCTGTAAAAAAAAAAAGATGTGTTTGCAATTCGTATGGAAATTGAAGCTTCATGGCACATAAAAAGTAAGAACTCAATTTGTTACTAATATGGTAAATCATTTGATAGTAGTGCCATACTTCAATATACTGTGTAATCAGGATCTTTAACATTTTCTTATTATACTGTCTGTTAACAACTGTTTAAATATTTAGTTTATTTGTAGTTAATAAAATATTTTAAGAGAGTGTAAATAGAGCAATAGGGAGATAGATGGCTGAATATTAAATAAACACCTATTTTTGTCATGGCTATTTGTAGCTGTTACACATGTGCTTTCCTGTGGGGAAGACTGGAGGAATGGCCCATATTTTCAAATCTGTTAGATAGTGGATCACTGAGTTACCATTCCTTAAAGCAGTAAAATAGGAAAAAAGAAAGTAGTCAACTGAGTTGGACTGAAAAATTGTGACCCCTATTACCTGATCAATGATGATAAAAAGAGTTTTGGCCAATACCTGCATTTCCTCTGTCAGCTCTAGCTTCACCTTCACTTTGTGTCCCTATAGGGTCAGGGACTATATTTTACTCTTGTCTGTCCAGATGAGCCTACTATGGCATGTCCCTAAGAATTATCTACCAATTGCCAAAATATTTTATAATGAAATATATTCATCATTCACATTTTGTCCTTTACAGTCAGCCTACAATATGGATGAATGTATAATTGATAAAAGAAAGTTAAATGTGTACTCACTACTTGAAGCAGAGAAAGGAAACCATTTCCAACATTATCAAAGTTCAGTTTTGCATTTTTCCATGGCACAGATTCATTAAACACAAGGCCTTCACATTCACTTTTATTCGCGACTTTAGATACAGGAAACCTTTCTCCACTGGTTGGGTCAATGCATTCATAGAACTTGCCAGCAAATAAGTTTACTCCCATGATACTAAAAGCCAGCCAGATCAGAAGGCAGACAAGAAACACGTTCAAAGCTGGAAAAGTTGTTTTTATCAAAGCTTTCACAACCACCTGGCATGTAAAGAAATGAACATGTAAACATACGGTAAGAAATGTGGACGTATTTTAATTTTTGATAAAAGTGGAAATACAAATTGGGATCATATCATACTGAGAAGACAGTAAATGCCGTATATAAAGATTTAATAGCCAATATCCTAGTAGTGGAATAACTTAAACAGCAATCCAATTTTGATAAATAATACTTTAAAAATACAGATAGTCCCCAAATTGTTGTACTAAAAAATTGTTAAACGGTAACAGAGTTGATTAGTGCAAACATTAGAATACATAATTTTTTCACTGACTTGACACATTCATTGACTTCCTATATTGTGCCAAAAATGATAATTCAAGACAATTGAACTGTGTGAATGTATGGAATTACCTAGACAGCATATAAATGAGAGGGACTGGGACTAGAACTGTCTTGAGGATTCTGACCTTAGGAAGAATAAGCTTGCAGACACGGTGAAGAAATTGGGGGAATCAGAAGGTCAAGAGTTTGTACTGTCAGTGAGACCAAGGGAAGAGATCATTTCAGGAAACACTGAATGGGCTGCTATATTCACAAAGCCTCAATCTCCTTCCTTAACCATTCTGTGTCATAGGTGAGTCACTCCAGAGTAGAAAGGTTGGGATAAAAATAAACTACTTAAACTTGAACACCAGCAACAGTCTATAATCACTGTCTTCTTTCATGCTACAGTGTTCACTATTTAATACTAAAATCAGATGTTTGCTCTTAGCATTCTTCTGAAGATGTTATGATAAATTGCTACATTCAATAGAATATTTTCAATATTTATGCTATTTATTTCTCTTTCACTTATTATTTACTTTTTATTTCCCTCCCCTGACCTTCCATCTTTCATTTATTCTCCCTGAAGTACCACTAATTCTCTTTCGTACCATTCTAACCTTCCCTTCTCTCAACTATCATTATTTATCATCATTATTATTTATGGTTGTGCTTTCTTGCTTATATTCTATAGTTGTCTATCTATAGATTAATATGTTA